GCAGCTGGATGCAATCATCGCATGCCAATATGCATTGGCTCATTTAGTTTACACTCGAAGTGGATTGGTCTCTCTAAGCAAGATCCCAATTCGTCAGTCACCGACGTGACTCGGAGTGACCGACTGAAAGGGAACGAGGCTTACATACGTAACCGAGATGTTACTTCCTACAGTCTTCTACAGTCTAAGACCTGGGTGATACATTACAAAAATCTAATTTCAAGTTACCAAAAAAAAAAGCCTTCTTCCACCTCAGAAATATTGGCAAGCTACGGAACATGTTTACTGTTTCAAAATCAGAAAGAGTTTTATTGCCAAGTATTAATTAAAGGGCCCTTGCACCAGGGCCACCTCCACCTAGTGGCCTTGCACTGTGGGCAATATGCATATAAGTGGGTAAATATAGGAGGACTATGTCTAAGTCATTTATATGTGCCAAACTTTCTCCTGCTATGACTATAACGGAATATTGGCATGTAGATGTGTTCAGGCCAGGATTTCTCAGGCTGCTACAGACACGCCCTTCAATGAAAACTTAAGATCTTCAAAATTTTACATTGGAAATGCCTTTACTGCCCTACAAAGGCAAAGTGCAGTAACTAAAGGCATTTTTCTCAGTTTCAGTGTTTGCGTAAAGTTTTTACATCAGCCAGTCAAACATGTTGTGGGTAGATTAGCGGCAATGCATTCATTTAATGCCTTCTAAGGATGAAATGTTTTATAGATAAAAACCATGACCACTGATGTGACCTTATGTGAAAGTTTTATTGATGTTTGCATGTTGTGAATGTTAAAATTGCTCAGTAGTAAGCCTCAAGATTAAGAGTTGTCTTATCACAATGCTCCTTTAACCACAAAGAGTTTTTTGCTCATTTTATTTATTAATTACAGACCAAGTAGTTAAAACAGAATTTTAATTGTGTGAATTTTTAACTACTATTAAAACCTTGGTCAATACATTTTTTTTTGTTTTTACATGGCACTTACAATTTTGAACTAAAATGACATTTCAACCATACAGCTTATGAATGAATGAAAATGCATATTTTAGAGAGAACTTAAGAGAGCGTGGGCTGCTTTTGGTGCTTGAACTTGTGCTTCAATTAATGAGGAATACGCTAGAAGTTAAAATTTTAAGTGTATTTTTTTTCTCTATTTAACAACATTAACTTACAATAGTGAAAGAAGTCATCCCTCTGGTAGATTGCATGTTTTCTTGCCTTGCTGGGTGTTGTGCTCATGATCAGTAATCATGTTGTTTGCATTCACCCAAACTGATTGAGCAGCCTGAGAGTGCAGCTTGGACGATGGGGAGGGAAAACACACCCCTAATTCCATTGGTTTCTAAACCAGCAGAGCTTAATGGCTTAAAAACATACATAAAAGAATGTGCATACTCAAGCTTTTATGAACGATCTACGCTAATTGACTATACTACAGAAATATTAGGTGCTAACCACTGTGATTTCAGAATCAATTGGCTAATGTTTTTTTAACTTAAGACGAATTAATTAGATTATCTAGATTAAGTTACAAACAAACGCTTGGAGACGACATCTCCAAGTACTTCAGGCAGAACAGAGCTGTGTAATATGTGCTGCTCACGTATTAAGTCTGGGGAGCAAATTCTTAATTCGTGGCCACGATATAGTCCTATACCTATATCATGTTAAATGAAGTCAAATTTTATAGCAGATTTTATTTCAAAGCAGACATATGCTTTAACATTGAGCAGTTTTAGAGCTGGGCAAAATGCTGATAAAAATGATCCACTAGATGTAGCTATTTTGTATAATAATATTTTGTATAATATTTATATGTTCTTCATATTACATTAGGATTTGCATTAGGATTAGTGGATAAGCATAAACTCAGGATATGATTCACTGTGGTTCAGACATCGGACAAACCCGTAAGTGTGTTTTATTTTAAAGCACAACCGCAGTGACAAATCCATGTGAACTGTGTCACAGCTAGCAGCTGAACTGCCCTTCACAGCTGCCAGAGGTGCATTTCTCCCAGATCATTGCTTCTTGCATTGAACTCCAACTCAACCCTTTGCCCGGACTATCAAGTCTCATTACCTCCAGCTGTGTGATTTACCCTTTTAGCTTACCTGTATATATACTTGGCTAACTAAGCTTTGGATTGTGGAGGAATTGCTCCATGCTTGCTGGTGACCGGTCTGTTTTCACCTTGTGTGATGCTTTTTGCGCTTTTGTTTTATGTGGATTACGACTGTGGATTACTTTATCAAATGCTGCACATGGATCTTTCATAGAGTCTGTGAGTGTTTCGTGACAGAATTCCTCCACCAAACAGATCCAGGACTATCAAGTCTCATTACCTCCAGCTGTGTGATTTACCCTTTTAGCTTACCTGTATATATACTTGGCTAACTAAGCTTTGGATTGTGGAGGAATTGCTCCATGCTTGCTGGTGACCGGTCTGTTTTCACCTTGTGTGATGCTTTTTGCGCTTTTGTTTTATGTGGATTACGACTGTGGATTACTTTATCAAATGCTGCACATGGATCTTTCATAGAGTCTGTGAGTGTTTCGTGACAGAATTCCTCCACCACAACAACAGATCCAGCAGCTAGGCTGTGAGTATCGGCCTGGGACCATGGGCATCCAAATTCTTCGTCCGGCTTCTAAAAAAGAGAGAAAGGCACGACTCTGGATGTTGGCGGCACTGCGTCAACAGGGAATGGGGGTAGGAGGCCTTGCTCAGACTTTTTGGACCTTTGCGGTATGGATGGAACTTTGTAACTCTGATTTAAAGAGGATGTTTAATGATTGCCTAGATAACCCCTTGCCTCCTTGGGAGATGGAGGGGCTTAAGACTCTCGACTTTTGGGATTTTATTGATTTATCTCTGTTACCACAATTTGGTAATATGGGTTTAAGACTCTCGACTTTTGGGAATTCATTGATTATCTATGTTACCACAATTTGGTAATATCATGTCGGCCTGAGCCCATTGCAGTGCCCCCGGAGAGGACCGAGCCTGCTCCAGTTGATGGTGAATTTTCACTATCTCAGTCTCACAAGCGACGGTCGAGAAGGAGGAAGGCAGCAAAGTCGACTCCAGTGGTCCCAAGTCTGGTGGTCCTGATGGACCTGACTCAGGTGGTCCTGGAGGACCCGACCCTGGTGATCTCCAGTTCAGTGGTCCTGGAGTACCCGACTTCGGTGATCTCTAGTCCGATGGTCCTGGAGGGACCTGACTCTGGTGGCCTCAAGTCCGGTGGTCCTAGAGGACCTGACTTCAGTGGTCCTGGAGGACCCGACTCCGGTGGTCTCAGATGTAGCCACAGAGCCGCCCGATTTCACTGCTGCTGCCATAATCAAGAAGGTCGTTTTTGCCTTTCACCTCAGGGCTGTTCTGCTTGCATGGGCCGCCTCAGAGTCCACTCCAGAGCCTGCTCCAGTCCGGGAGCATTCAGAGTCCACTCCAGAATCCACTCCATTCTGGGAGTCCTCAGTGTCTACTCCAGAGTAGAGGTCTGCTACCCGACCCGAGCCCGAAGGGTCCCGAAATACTTTCGGGTTTCGGGTCGGATTCGGGTTAATGTTTAATGAATAGCTTCGGGTTCGGGTCGTGCTCAGGTTTATAGCTAAACTAAAACTATATGCAGGAGGCTACGCTGCTTTCATAGACGCACGCACACACATTAGTGTACACGACAATGACAAAACAGCACGGAAACTTTTATTAATAAAATAGCTTCGACAGGCTACTGACTCACAACATTATATTTCTCTGCAATGAGGGGGTAAAATCGCTGTTGTTGAAGGAACTAAGCCTCATTGCTTGTAGAGAGAGACGCGCAGACGCAGGTTCACACA